TTTTTTTCATTTTTAATTGTGGATACCCATAAATTTTTATGGTGAGGGAGCAATTGGGAGCTGAATATTTTGCTGGCATATGATGTGTTGCTGATTTAGAATCTTGGGTTTCTTTTTACTTTGGTATTTGCTGTTGTTGAGAAGTAGGGTAGAAAATCTGCAAATGGCTTTACGGGTACTGCAAATGTCCTTTTTCTTTAGGTTAATTTTGCTCTCATTAAATCTGGATGCAAAAGGGGTAATTCAAAATGCCCATAGGATATAATGAAGTGCTTTGTTGATCTTACTTTTGCACTAGTAAGATCCACTGAACCGTCCTTTGAAAAGCGACAAAACAATAGTTTTTGTACAAAAATTTCTACAGCAATCAAAATGCAAAAATGGACTGTTTTATTTTGATAATAGTAGGGGTTTGTTTTTGGTTCAAGAAAAGAAGAAAAAGAATAGATAACTTCATATTTATAGGGGCAAGATGTCTGTTGTGAACAGACGTTTTTTTTCAGTTATTATCAGTTTATTAATGGATAATAATTGAGTTTTTATGAAATTTATCTGTTAAAAACTCTTCCAAAAGTCATTTAGTTTGATTTTAACTCCAAATCACATTTCCTTGCCTTCCAGAGTTATTCACTCTCTTCAGAAACTTATCTAAATTTTATCTGTTATTCTGACGTAAATGGTTTAAATCAAATAAATGTGATTCGAATCAAAATCATAATTTTTTAGATTCTAGTTTTACGTAAATAATTTGAATCATATAATTATGATTCGAACCAAAATTACACTTTCTCAAATGCATTCTATTCTATGTAATTGCTTTGAACCAACTTTTTGTGATTCGAACCCAAATCTTGGAAATATTTTGAAAATTCTTCAACATTTCCCCCATCATTTTCAAAATAGAATAGCTCACCAATTGTTTTGAAAATCTTATGCATATATGAAGGTAACTTTCGATTTGAACCTTTCACTTAATGAACATGTGTTGGCAAATTAGTCAAAATTGCATAGTAGACTAATGCTTTGAACTAATGATTCTAAGTGATTAATTGGGCACATGTCACACACAAGACTTCAAGCTTTCCAAAAAAGGAATTCAGCATCCAACGACACAAAAACTGGTCATGTTTCCTGTATTCGTTTCATGAGTGCTGTTAGAGTCAAGTCCCCAACTCCTAGAAGTGGCACCATTTCTACTCATATAGGTAGATTCCATCAAAAGTGCCACCATATTAAGTACTTTAACAAAAATATGTTATAGAACCTATTAAGAGTAAAACTCAACCTTTTTTTTTATTTCATACGGTTACCAAGTACTCTTCCACTTGGGATGGTATTGTTAATAAATTGAGTACTTGAAATCACATTCATATAATGTACTTTACTCATTGAACTCAAAACTTGAAGTTTTTATCAAGCGTTAGTCGAGGTTCCATTATGTGTGACTTTTATCAATGGATTTGAGACTCATTCATATAGATGTTTTATATACTTTTTCTCTTGTTAATCCTTTTGTTAAAGGATCTGCTAAATTTTCACTAGACTTCGCATAGTCTATGGTGATCACCCCATCAACAATTAATTGCCTTACTAACTATGTCTTTGACCAATATGTCTTAGATCAATATATTTAGACTTTTCATTATATACTTGGCTATAAGTTTTTGCTAATGTAGCCTCATTATCACAATGTATTGAGATCGGGCACATTGGCTTTGGTCATAAAGAAATTTCATATAGTAAATCTTTTAACCATTCCTTTTCTTTACATGTAGAGTTTAAGGCAATAAACTCAGCTGCCATGGTGGAGTGTTATGCAAGTTTGCTTCTTGGATCCCCAAGAAACAGCACCCCCACCAAGCATGAAAATCCATCCAGTTGTGGATTTATGATCCTCATGATCCATGATCCAACTAGCATCCGTAAAGCCTTCTAGTATCGAAGGATAACCATTATAGCAAATGTCATAATACATAGTTTTCTTAAGATATTTCAAGACTATGTATTTCTTGCCAATATAAAGAACTGGGATTACTTGTGTATCTATTAAGTTTCCCAACAGCATATGCTATATTTGGTCTAATGCAAATCATTGCATACATCAAGCATCCAATCACTCTTGAATATTCTAATTGTGCAATTGGTTTTCCATCATTAGATGTTAACCTTACATTAGGATCAAAATGTGTAGAAACAATTGCACAATCATAAAAATTAAATTTCTTCAAGACTTTTTCTATATAATTGGAGTGAGAAAGGATTAAATTATCACCATCTCTATGAATTTTTATTCCCAAAATCACATTAGCAGCACTCATGTCTTTCATGGAAAAGTTTCTAGACAAGAACCTTTTGGTTTCTTTAACTTGTTCTATGTTGGTACCAAAGATGAACATGCCATCTACATATAGGCATATAAGAACACATTGTTCATTTTTAAACTTGCTATAAACACATTTATCTACTTCATTTAATTTGAAGCCATTAGCAAGCACCACTTCATCAAATTTTTTATGCCATTGTTTAGGGGCTTGCTTAAGTCCATACAAGGATTTTATAAGCTTGCAAATTTTCTTTTCTTGACCAGGCATCACAAACCCTTCTGGTTGCTCCATGTATACTTCATCTAATTCACCATTTAAAAATACTATTTTAACATCCATTTGGTGAATTACCAATTTGTAAATTGATGCCAAAGCAATTAATACTCTTATAGTGGCAATCCTTGCTACCGGAGCATAGGTAACATGCTTTTGTGAATAGCCTTTTGCCACTAATCTTGCCTTGAATTTGTTTATTGTGCCATCAACTTTCAATTTCTTTTTGAAAATCCATTTGCAACCTATAGGTTTGCAACTTGGTGGGAGATCCACTAATATCCATGTGTTATTTCCCATTATGGAACTCATTTCCTCATCTATGGCTTCCTTCCAAAAAGCTAAATCTTGTGACTTAATTGCTTCTTCAAATGTCACAGGATCAGCTTTTATATTATAACAAAATTTAATTGCTTTTCTTGTCCTTTCTCTTGTTCCTTCAATAAGAAACATGTAAAATTCTGGACCATATGTTCTTGCTTTTCTAGCCCTTTTGCTTCTTCTAACTTCAATGTTTTCTTCCATCTTGTTTTCTTCCAAGTTGTCTTCTATTCTTTATTCTGAACTTTCAGCAATTGCTTCTTTAGGTCTAGGAATTGAATTAAATCTGCTCTCTTCAAAGATAGCATCTCTTGATTCAATTATGGTATTGACATTAATTGAATCATTTGGTCCAATGACCATAAACCGGTATGCCTTATTATTTTTTGCGTACTCTAAAAATATACATTTAATTCCTCTTTCACTTAATTTTTTTCCTTTTGGGTTCAAGTACTCTTACAATTGCTCTACAACCCCAAACTCTTAAATAGTTAAAGTTTGGTTTTCTTTTCTTCCAAAGTTCATATGGGATAACTTGGCCTTTTTTAGTAGGCACCCTATTCAATATATAGCATGCTGTTAGCAATGCTTCACCCCAAAAACCTGGACTTAAACTAGAATTGATAACATGGCATTCACCATTTCAGTTAAAACTCTATTCTTTTGTTCTGCCACACCATTTTGTTATGGTGTGTATGGGGCTGTTATTTCATGGATAATTCCAGTGGATTCAAAGTGAGATGGATCATAATATTCCCTACCTCTATCAGTTCTTAGACATTTGATAAATGTCTCACTTTGCAATTCCACTTTTGCTTTATAAACTTTGAATTTTTTCATTGCTTCATCTTTTGTATTTAACAAGTAAACATAACAGAATTTGAATAATCATAAATAAAAATAACATAATATTTCTTGCCACCAATAGTAGGAGTACTATGCATGTCACAAACATCAGTATGCACAAGATCAAGCAATTTAAAAACTCTTTCAATCTTAGGAAAAGGAATTCTAGTAATCTTAATAAGCATACATGTCTTGCATTGTAATTCATTTTTAGGCGAGGTAGAAATTAATTCTAATTTAGACATCTCATGCATCTTCTTGAAATTAAAATGTCCTAATCTATGATGCTATAAATTAAATGAGTCAAGAATATAAGCAGAAACAACACCCTTATTATTAATATTATTATTAATGTTCATCTTGAACATGCCCTCACAAGCATAATCTTTTCCTACAAAAATCACCCTTAGACAGAATAAATTTATCTGCATCAAATACAAGTTTAAAACCAAATTTGTTCAACAAACTTGCTGAAATTAGATTTTTTTGATATTCGGCACATAATGCATATCAGTGAGAGTGAGAACTTTTCCAAAAGTGAACTCAAGGTCCACGGTTCCTTTGCCTTTCACTTGTACTGCTGCAGAATTTCTCACATACAGCACACTTCCTTCAAGTTCTGGTTTTAAAGTCTTGAATAGACTTTTTTCCTTGCAAACATACATTGTAGCACCAGAATCTATCCACCAAGCAGTGTGTGTCATCTTCCATGAGATTAATTTCAGAAATCATAACAATGAGATTAATTTCAGAAATCACAACAATGAGATTAATTTCAGAAATCACAACAATGAATTTTTCATGTGATAATGCTGGTGCATTCCTTTTCTTCTTAAGAAAATAACACTCCCTTTTGAAGTGTCCAGTTTTTCCACAATGGAAACATGCACTCTTTTGCTTCTTAAATTTCTGATTTTGCTTGACAGAATACTCCTTCTTCTTGAAAGGCTTTTTGGGCTTGCTTGAAGTTCCTTCCTCCAATACATGCACATCCGAGACTTGCACTTTCTGCTCCTTTTCATTTTCTGCTCTATATTGCTCTTCAAATCTCAAAGAGTTAGCAAGATTCTCAAAAGAAATATCTTCCTTTTTTTGTTTTAATGTTCTCTTGAAATCTTTCCATGCATGAGGAAGTTTATCAATTATTGAAGACACAACTATGGATTCATCCATCTTCATATCATTTTATAATTATTCCATCTGGTCACCGAAAAATTCTTACTTGTTGCATCTTCATTCATATATCTTACTTCTAACTTATCCCACAATTCTTTTGTAGTAGACTCATGAACATAAGTATCAAAAAGAGAATCAGACATACCATTTAAGATGCAGCCCCTACAGACATAATCATCATTCTCCCACTTTTTCTTTTTTTCTTGTATCTTGCAAAGTTTCATTCTCATTTTCCTCTGGTCGAACATCAATGAGAACATAAACGATGTTGAGAGTTGTGAGAAGGATGTATATCTTGTGTTGCCATCGAATAAAGTTGCCCCCATCAAAGCGATCTAACTTTTGGAAATTAGTAGCCATCTCACACAAAGTTGTAGCCATAATTGCAGAATAGAAAAATTAGCCTAAAGATTGTTGAGAAGCAGGGTAGAAAATCTGCAAATGGCTTCAAGGTGTGCTGCAAATGCCACTTTTCTGTAGGCTAATTTCACCCCCACCAGATTTGGATGCAAAAAGGGTAACTCGAAATGCTTGTAGGATACAATGAAGCGCCTTGTTGATCTTGCTTTTGCACTAACAAGATCAACCACTTAACTATCCTTTGGAAAGCGACAAAACAATAATTTTTGTACAAGGATTTCTACAGCAATCGAAGTGCAAAAATGGGCTGTTTTATTTAGATAATAGTAGGGGTTTGTTTCTAGGTTCAAGAGACGAATAAGAAGAGACAATTTCATTTTTATAGGGGCAAGATGTCTGTTGTGAACAGACGCTCTTTTTCAGTTGTTATCAATATCATATCACAACTGACATCTTGCTTAATTTTCCGGATTTTAGTTTTACGTAAATGTTTTGAATCATATAATTATGATGCGAACCAAAGTTACACTTTCTCAAATGCATTTTGTGCAATTGTTTCGAATTAACTTTTTGTGATTCGAACTCAAATCTTGGAAATATTTTGAAAATTCTTCAACAGCTGTTACAGTTCCTTATTTTGATTGCTGAGAACTGAGTTCTACTTCTATCTCTGAACTATGTTGGGTAAAATTTAAGCTGCAATATATCAACGCAAAAAAATGGACAGCTTAGTTGGGTTTGATGAATGGTTCTTTATAAAGTAGGAAACTTACGGGTCTGACTTGGGTCCAGCTTGTGCTTGGCTGCATCCTGCAAGCCTGAGTTCTATCTGTGTTTCTGTAGGCAATAGTGTGATAATTTGCTCTGGAGGCTGCAGCCAGGGTAATTTTCTTCATTGCTGACTGACGGTCATAAGTTTTAGCTGTATTCTTTGTCCAGATTCCTGCAATTTAGTATTCAAAACAGCTTTGGTATGTGATTGAATTTTCTTCAATGTTTGTATGTGAAAGCAAATATGACTTGGTAATGTTGCGTTTTTCTAAGGAATTTATCTTTTAGGCGGTTCGTTTGCAGGATATCATTTAATTCATTATACATGTTTCTTGACTAAAATCTTCTGATCTTCTGTTAGTTGAACTTTGAAGCGCTTATGATGATTTCTTTTTTTTTTTTTT